CCTTTTACTAGTTAGTCCTGGTAAAGCCCCCAGACGGCGTATTTTTTTGAAACGAGGTCCTCTGTAACGCGACATAAAGACTCCTTTTTTATTTGAAATTTCATAAACCTAAATTCAAACTAAACTAAATGAGAAATATGATAAATGAAGCGAAATCTACTAAAGTATTGTACTACAAAGAAAGTATTGTACTACAAAGAAGAATTAGATGAATTATATCAATATCCGAACCTTATTGTATATAAAAAAAAGGGGGGTTCTTTTCTTGATTTGTTCTACAGAAATCGAACTCCCCCAATTTAAATTCATAATTGGAAGTTCCTACGACAGAATAGATCGGTGACTCTTGAAAAAAGAAAGGGGAAAAGGCCTTTTCAATATTCTTTGATTTCAAAAAGACATTCTCAATTATATAAAAAATCAAAACAAATAGAGAAAAGCCGGCTATCGGAATCGAACCGATGACCATCGCATTACAAATGCGACGCTCTAACCTCTGAGCTAAGCGGGCTCACATAACAGAAATTGTGCATGCATAGGAATTTAATAAACTACTGAGATCTTAGTTATTAACTTTTATTCTTAGCTATTTTATTCTTAGCTATTGATAACATAATTAATATGAATATAGAAAAGAATATAGAATTTCAAAGAAATATTCCATTTTTTTTTATTCTAAGACATAAAGAACATAACAATTTGAAAATAAGGATTAAGGAAATATATTTCAATCTATTTATTAAATAGATTATGTTTCTCAATAATCAATTATATGTTTATTAATGATCAATATCTTTATCTTAATATCTTTATCTTAATTAGTATAGTAAGATTTGATTTTTTCATTTTGAATTCAAATTTGATTATTTGAATTAATTTATAGTTTTAGTTTATAGAAATTGAATTTAATTATTCTAAATAGATTTAATATAAATACTTAATTAAATTATGCTTCGTTAATTCTATGCTTATTTTATCTATTTAATTTCATAAAATAATTTAATTTGCTATTTGTTAATTAATGAAAATTCGTTAATAAAATTATTAATTGATTTTTAAGTTTTCTTTTTAATTTAATTTTATTTCTAGAAAATAAGACGAAATATATAAATTTATTTTAAAAATCTAATGTATCTAACATTCATTCTAAATTCGCTAATTCTCTTTAATATTAGAATTCATGTTTCTTTATAATTGTAAGCATTCTATCAGTCTATCGATTCAATATATATACCATATATAGATACCTTTCTTAGCGTTTTTTAACTCTTTCCATTTAATGTTCATTATGAAATTCCCTTTCTTTTTTTTTTTTTTTTATCTTATCTTTTTTCCTTAGAACGGATAGGCTCTATATAACATAACTAAAGATAACTAAAATGGATGGAAATCTCTTATTTTTTTAGATTCAATAAAAAAGAAATCCATTTCTATTTATTAATTTGGAATAGTTAGACCTAATGTAATGGCTATAAATATCATTCTATTAATTTCAAATTAATTTAGAAAAGAATTCGAGTTATTTCTATTCTATCTACTCTATATTATTTATTTCTATATTTCTTTTTTATTTATATAGAATATTTATTAATAAATAAAATTCAAAGAATATTCAATATCAATATATTTAAATAAATATATTCCAATTTTGAATTCTATTCATTTTCGAATTTTAGATTCATATTAGCTATACTATCATATTAACTTTACTATATAAATAGTATATAACTATCTATATATATATATATTTTCTATATTTTAACTATATTTAACTGCATTTAGAATTTTATATTAATTATTTTATATTAATTCTATTTAGAATAATTAAATTCAAATTTCTTATTTAAACTAAAAACTTATAAATTAATTCAAATAATCAAATTTGAATTCAAAAATGAAAAAATCAAATCTTACTATACTAATTAAGATAAAGATATTAAGATAAAGATATTGATCATTAATAAACATATAATTGATTATTGAGAAACATAATCTATTTAATAAATAGATTGAAATATATTTCCTTAATCCTTATTTTCAAATTGTTATGTTCTTTATGTCTTAGAATAAAAAAAAAATGGAATATTTCTTTGAAATTCTATATTCTTTTCTATATTCATATTAATTATGTTATCAATAGCTAAGAATAAAATAGCTAAGAATAAAGAGTTAATAACTAAGATCTCAGTAGTTTATTAAATTCCTATGCATGCACAATTTCTGTTATGTGAGCCCGCTTAGCTCAGAGGTTAGAGCGTCGCATTTGTAATGCGATGGTCATCGGTTCGATTCCGATAGCCGGCTTTTCTCTATTTGTTTTGATTTTTTATATAATTGAGAATGTCTTTTTGAAATCAAAGAATATTGAAAAGGCCTTTTCCCCTTTCTTTTTTCAAGAGTCACCGATCTATTCTGTCGTAGGAACTTCCAATTATGAATTTAAATTGGGGGAGTTCGATTTCTGTAGAACAAATCAAGAAAAGAACCCCCCTTTTTTTTATATACAATAAGGTTCGGATATTGATATAATTCATCTAATTCTTCTTTGTAGTACAATACTTTCTTTGTAGTACAATACTTTAGTAGATTTCGCTTCATTTATCATATTTCTCATTTAGTTTAGTTTGAATTTAGGTTTATGAAATTTCAAATAAAAAAGGAGTCTTTATGTCGCGTTACAGAGGACCTCGTTTCAAAAAAATACGCCGTCTGGGGGCTTTACCAGGACTAACTAGTAAAAGGCCTATAGTCGGAAGCGAACTTAGAAACCAAGCGCGCTTGGGTAAAAAATCTCAATATCGTATTCGTTTAGAAGAAAAACAAAAATTGCGTTTTCATTATGGTCTTACAGAACGACAATTGCTTAAATACGTTGGTATCGCCAGAAAAGCGAAAGGGTCAACTGGTCAAGTTTTACTACAATTACTCGAAATGCGTTTGGATAACATACTTTTCCGATTGGGTATGGCTTCGACTATTCCTCAAGCTCGTCAATTAGTTAACCATAGACATGTTTTAGTTAATGGTCATATAGTAGATATACCAAGTTATCGCTGCAAACCACAAGATATTATTACAGCGAGGGATGAACAAAAGTCTAGAACTCTGATTCAAAATTATCTTGATTCATCCCCCCGTGAGGAATTGCCAAAACATTTGACTCTTCACCCATTCCAATATAAAGGATTAGTCAATCAAATAATAGATAGTAAATGGGTTGGTTTGAAAATAAATGAATTGCTGGTTGTAGAATATTATTCTCGTCAGACTTAAATCTAACTAAAATAACAAGAGATTTTGACTCCCTTCGCGTCTAAGTAAGGGGGCCAGGCCAACAAAAAACAAAAAAAGGGGTAAGGTGTTTGATCCGGGAATTTTCACTTCCATTCATCTATCATAGACATGGATCGGGTAGGAAGATTTTCATTCCTTGCCCCCTCTTTCCAGTATTTTCAGTATTCCAGAAATTAGGAATAGAGAATCCACATCAAAGAAAGTTGGAATAAAAGTACCCTTTGTTATTTGAAACATTGCGGTCAATAATATTGATGAATTAGGTAAAGGTGCGGAAAGAGAGGGATTCGAACCCTCGGTAAACAAAAAGCCTACATAGCAGTTCCAATGCTACGCCTTGAACCACTCGGCCATCTCTCCTACATAATGATTATGTCCCAGAAACCGAGTGAATAGTGAGTCATTCATATTCTATTTTTTTAGATAGCCACATACAATCAAATTTCAATAGAAAAATAGAAAAACTTTTTCTAAAAAAAACCTTCATAAACAATTTTGGAGTCCTTTTTACGTTATTTCGTACTTTGATTGTACAATTCCTTTGTTTGTGGGATTATTTTCTCACGAGAGATAATTAAATTCTAGAACGGATTGCTACCTATGCCTAGATCTCGGATAAATGGAAATTTTATTGATAAGACCTTCTCAATTGTAGCCAATATCTTATTACGAATAATTCCGACAACTTCAGGAGAAAAGGAGGCATTCACCTATTACAGAGATGGTGCGATTTGATTCTTTTTCCTTTTTTTTGCTCTCAGTCTTAGGAGAAAGACACATTCTTCGGATAGAAAGAAAAAAAATGGAAAAAAACCTACGCTTGCTGAAGGTGAAGTTTGTGGAAATAAAACAATTAATTCCTTCTGTCGTGTATCCCCGATTAATGCAGCCTCATATGCTTGAATTTTTGATTTATAGTATTAAGCGAAAGGTTATACCTATACTTATGGGTTAGGTCAACTCTATTCCACTAGTACCAATGGGCGGCATGGGGGAAGAAGCACTACGTTTAGGAATCAACAACACGAAAACTTTGTTAAAAAAAAAATATCCCCCCCTTCCTTATCGGGATCGGAACTAAGAAGAATGGTTGGGACAACAAACATCCATCTCGTTCGTATTTTGGATACCCGTATAACCATCGAAGACTGTTGAAGTGACTAATTCCGGGAAATTAAGCGGCGTTGAGGACAAAGAAATTGTTGGAGTTACCATTTTTTTTATCCAGTACCAACATACTTGATGTTAAGAAAAGATCTTTTACAGGAAGGTTGGCTAGAGATTTATTGTAAAAACACTAGCCCTGCTCAGTTCATAATGAGAATACTGCAATCTTTTTTTATTCTATGTATTTTTATCATTATGCACATAAAGGAGGAGCCGTATGAGATGAAAATCTCACGTACGGTTCTGGAACGGAGATTCTTTGAACCGAATGACGACCGTAACGGATGTCGGCTCAATCCGAAGGAAATTATGCGGAAGCTTTACAGAATTATTATGAAGCTATGCGACTGGAAATTGATCCCTATGATCGAAGTTATATACTTTATAACATAGGCCTTATCCACACAAGTAACGGAGAACATACGAAAGCTTTGGAATATTATTTTCGGGCACTAGAACGAAACCCGTTCTTACCACAAGCTTTTAATAATATGGCCGTGATCTGTCATTACGTGCGACTATCTCCACTATAGAAAGAA